CGAGTCGGGAGCCTGGACATCTTTTATTATACTGTAATTAATTTTTAAATTATAATTTTTTTATTGTAAAAAATATTGTAGTTTTTATTAACACAATTGACGCAGCTAAAGTCTAATTGGTGAGTTAATTTCTAAACAAACAATATCCTATGGTTAAAATATGTGTAATACAAGTTTTCTAAGTTACTCCTCTGTTACAGATTTCAATCCTGTTGCCGATTGTTAAAAGTAAGCATTCATTTTTAATTTAATTGTCATAAATTATTTAAAATTCTTTCCGTTTTTTTAACTTCAATTAAAATCTAATGATGAGTTTACCACAGACCTGTTCTGATTGAATTGAGGATACCATATTATATTTTTCTGATTGTATTCTGTTATACTAATGGTTAAAACATATATGATAAAAACTATAATGTTTTTTGTTTGTTTGCAGATTAATTAAACCAGCCCTCCATCATTCATACAAGGTAATTTGCCACATATACCTCATAGCAAATACAATCATTTCAAGTATATTTTCCTCTTTGTACATTTACTCTACCTTTTTATTAGTTTTCATTGCTGCAATATAAAAGAAACAAACCTCCATTCCAATCTCAAAAGAAGGTTTTTTCGCCAGTGGGAACCGACCTTTATATTAATAATGATGATAAAACTGTAACCTTATGCCACCGTGACGGTCATTACAAGCTCAACAGGCCTGACGACATCTAGAAAGTACAAATTTTGTTGTTTTTAATGTAATCTCTAAAGTGTTTTATATTTTGTTGCAGATTGATCAAGTGGAAATATTATTCGACATCATATGATGTGATTAATTTGTAAGTATATTTTGCATTCCATATGATAACATTTTACTAGAAAAACTTAACAATAACAGAGTTTTCACGTATTCGTAATCTAGCTTTTGAAAAACTCATAATGAAAATATATTAGTAGTAATTAAGTAAAATTATTTAATCATTACTGTGTCATTAGTGTTAGGTTGAACAAAGTTTCAACAGAGTAAAACTCGAGTTATGTAGTTGAGAAACGCATTTCATGAAGT